CATCCATCCGATCATCCATCCATCCATCCATCCATCCATCCATCCATCCATCCATCCATCCATCCATCCATCCATCCATCCATCCATCCGATCATCCATCCGTCCATCCATCCATCCATCCATCCGATCATCCATCCATCCGATCATCCATCCATCCGATCATCCATCCATCCATCCATCCATCCATCCATCCATCCATCCATCCATCCATCCATCCATCCAGTTGTTTGAACAAAATGAGTGAAATGTTTTCTATTGTTGCTCTAACTCTACTGTTCTCTGTCTTCAGATCACTCCACCCACTCTTTGATCTGCTGCTGCTGTGCTGTTCAAACCAGGTAAAGACGAGCCCAATGGTTCATAAACTGACTATGTTGAATTAAATTAATCTCAAAGAGAAGCAGAGAACCGTCTGTAAATATATTTTATTACAATTAGATATGTCTACAGTCAATGGGAAAAATAATATACATCTCAGCCTTTATGAGAAAAACTGGGTGCAGACGTTCTGCTGTTTGAAACAATTTTCAGCCATTGTTAGAATCTTGATTATAGCAGGAGTTTTAGATGCCTGTTGTTCTGAAGTATACAGTTCTATATTAACAAAATGCAAAAACTACTATGAGATGCAATGTTACTATTCGGCAGTATGGAAAGGATCAAAGTTTGTTAGCTTTCAATGTTTAAATGGGTCATTCCTTCAATTTTGGTACTAAAGTCAGACTCTGCAAACTCAGAGAACAAAACAATGAACCCAAAACTCCGATAAAAAGTATGAGTTACTTGAATATGAATCTCAAATTTTCTCCTGTTACTTTAGAGCCCATTGTAAACTGTGCAATATTTAAAATGGGCTCTAAAGTAACAGGAGAAAATTTGAGATTCATATTCAAGTAACTCATACTTTATGATGTAATTTGATTGCACAGCTTTCAGAGGAAATGTTTTTATTAATATAATTTTTTAAAAATAATAATTTATTAATATTGAATATTAGTAATTTATAATATATATATATATATATATTTTTTTTGCAACTTCAATGTTATAGTGAAGTAAAAGACGAGAATCTATCCAAATCTTCGATTTCTAAACTACAAGTGTTGATCAGTGAAAATAGTTTTGATATGGGAGCAGACTCAGAATTTAATTGGTTATTTTTAGCAAATTCTTCTTAAAAATCAAGTTTAAAATTAAAAAACTTAAAATAAAGATTTAGAAACATTTATTTATTTATTTATTATAGAGTGAGAACAGGCAAAGCACATCAGAAAACTATTAATTGCTGGTTGAAATCATTACAATATAAATGGCTTATTTGTGATTTTCTGAACCAATATATTTCTAATATTGTAAATACAAAGTGGGGAGTTGATAAACGAAGAGTATTTCATGATTCTAGGTTTATTTCCCAAAGACATATAACTCTCATAAAGTGAACTACGATTCATAGATAGTTGTGTTTTACAAGGAAAAAGATTGATTTTATTGTTTTGGAAAAAACATCTTAACCATCAAGTATTGCACAGCGGGTTAAACAATTGCTGACTACTCTTCCATTGGAAGGGAAAATAACATGCTTGAAAGTATTTAGCATTCTTTTATATTTTCTGCAGAAACCACAGAATTAGCAGTGGATCCCAAAGCATAATATATGCATTAAAAAAATGTCAAATCCCTGTATTTCTGCATAATTGGGCACTATATGTTGAGATTGTCATTTATTTTTGTTTTCCATGTTTGATGTTTGAATAAAAAAACTAAAATAAGGGATAAAAATAATGTGGAAAAAAAACATTGTAACAATATGAAAATGCACAGCACAATGTGTGGTGAGCCTCAGAAAGAGTGTCAAGCACAATGGTGAAAAAGGTGACTTTTACTTATTTTGCAGCTTCTAAACTTGAAAACCATGAAGTCGACCCTCCACTCTGCTGTTCTAGGCTCAAATTCAAGGTTAACGTTTAGTACAGCATAGATTAATCAGGCGGATAACATTCTGAATTCAGCAATGAAGATTTTACTTTGACCCAGTCAAAGTGTAGACCTCAACCTGTTTGAAAAAATGTGGTGAGACCTGAGAGCTGTGCAGAAATACTGTTCACACAGTGTTAGAAAGAGGAATGGGTAACTTTTCTCCAAATTAAGTTAAAGTGATTAAAAACGTCTATGCAGAATTATTGCTGCTGGTACTAATCTGAATAGTAAGGTCCATAAGGTTTTAGCTAATATTTGCATTGTTTCTGAGCAAAGATAGGGAAATGAGGATATTTATAATGTCCTAATTTAGTTTAGATTCTTTCACATTTATAAAGACACACAGGAAAGGTAGACCATCCTGTTAAAGCTTATAAAGTTAGGTCCTTTTTTAGAGTGTTTAGATTGTGGGAAACCTCAGAGAAATGTGGTAAGCATGCTGTGTCCAATGCTTGTAAAATGTGCAAAGTTGCATGCATCAAAATACCATTATGGAGAAGCAGGTTTAAGAGTTCAGAATCCATTTTAAACATTTTAGTCTGGAATAATGTGAGGAAAACTGTCTTTTACTGCAACTTTATATATATATATATATTTGTAAACGCTTTACAGTGTAGTATTTTATTGTTTATCTTTTAACTTTTCACTATTATTTTATCCTCATACATTTTTCTAAGGTCCACATTTTTTTTCTTTAATCTTTTTGCTGCTGTAAACGCCAGAATTTCCCCATTGTTGGACAATACTAGGATTTTCTGTTCTATTTCTATTCTATACTATTCTATATTATTTTTACTCACTTAGGTTTTTTTCAGTTGGATTCCTTTAGATTTAATCTAAATATGTGAAAAATAATATAGGCTTCATTGAAAAGATAAAAATACTACCTTAAAATGGTTATTCCAAGAGATAAACTTAGTATTTTGTTAAACCAAAGCAAATATGTAGGTTTTTGCATTGAAAAGGAAAGTGGGTGCACACTAATGTTGGGTCGTATAATTGTATAGTTATCTTGTGTTTTGATGAATGTTAACCAAAATACGATGAATAAATAATACAACCAATTTCAGTAGGCATATATATCAGTGTCAGTTGGAGGAATCTTCTACATGACTCCGCCCATATTTGGAAGGTCCAAAACTTAAGAATTGGCTCAGGAATACTACATTTCTAATAATTTTTCAATGTTGTTTAAAATTGAACGAACAATTAGATAACAGCAACCACATAAATCACATTTGTTGATTTTTTTTTTTTTTGCTCTTTTAATGCTGCAAAGCACCAAAAAGTGGTATTTATTAAAATAAAATAAATTAGTGGCTCAAAAGAATTATTATGTCAAATTTTACACATTGAGTAAAAGGAAGAAAATAGATTGTTTGGCCGATTTCAGGGAGATCAGCACACGCATGGAGATGGGGGGCAGAACTTCGCTTTGCTTCCGAGGCAGACGGCACCCAGGAGTAGCCAGACAGGTACGAAATGGTATATTTCTCTTTATTTTTGTGTTTTTCAGTGCTAGGTATTGATTTTTAATATCAAACAATCAGGTCGACCTGTCCAAGAAAAAACTCCCTCAACCCCCGCCGGAGAATGGTGAAGGAGAAGGCCTGCTGAATGTTGTAGCCATGTACGATTTCACAGCCAAGGAGGACAGTGACCTCACTCTTAAACAGGTACACACTGCTACTGGCCTAATATTCATTAAGTTACTTTTAAACAAATCGTTTAATTTCCCATCTGCTTAAACTATGGTAAATAAAATGATTTTTCAATAAGGAGAGGGATTTAAGGGGGGTTATGCTTTCAATATTGTTGGTTTATCCGTCTTTCTTTTTTCAAAATAACTAAAAAAGTTATTGACAGATTTGATTAACATTTCTATCAGAGGTGCTCCTCATGGAAAGGAACAAGGGACAATTGATGTATGTAACCTTATATTATCATGATCAAATGGATTTAGGTCTTTTTTTACGGTCATATAACATCACTATGCATAAGGAAAGCCTAAAGAGTGACAAAAGCCAATACCATTTCAAACATTTGGAAAAAATCTACTGCAATATGTCTAGTACTGCAATAATATGGAACCGAGACATATTATGAACTATGGTAATCAGACAATAGCACCTCAGAGACTTAGCCTATATTTTTTAATCTTCAAAAATAGTTGTTTAGGGAGTTGGTTTTGCTTTAAGTTAATTGTTTATTGCTATTAAACTGTTTTATTACTCTGTATTTCTATTGATTATTGGTACTTTAACATTCACAGTAGCTTATTCGTGAAATTTAACATTAGGACCCCTGATGAAGCTAAAATAACACTGAGCGTCCGTTTGTGCATATTTACTTATTGGGGAATCTCATTGAGTTACTGTAGATCATGGTTCCTCAATGATTATCCTCGAAGTCCAGTTTTCTGCACCTTTTAGATGTGTCTCTGCTTCCACACCTGAATCAAATGGCTAAATTACCTCCTAGGCACGCCGTTATGCTAAGGACCTGATTATGTAACTCAGGCTGTTGAAGCAGAAGCAGATCTAAAAGGTGCAGGTCACTCTGCTGGAAATTATAAGAAGATTAAAGAAAATAGCTGTGAAGGATGAGCTGCCAAATCAGGTTTTAAACAATCTATGTTGGATACAAGGCGACACACATTTCATGCCTTGAAGAGTTGGGTATTAGAGTGATAAGAGATGCAGAAGGGATGATCTTACTTGGTGGTATAAAGAGATGGGTCATTGATGAAAGTGTGAAAGATCTTAGTTGGCTATAACTGACATATAGTCAGTACAAAAAGTCCAAAGATACAAAAATAAGCCAATGCAGAATTATTAATTGGGGTTATGTCCATAGGAATTCCATTTACAATGGAGATAAACAAGAAAATTAAAGTGTTGTTGTTAATATGTTGTTTTTATAGGGAGAGGAGTACGTCATCCTCCATAAGCAGGACCAGCTGTGGTGGAGAGCAGAGGACAGACACGGGTACGTACGTACAAATCTGCACAAATTTTACAGCAACTTTAAACGCTGATAATATTTGTGCGGAGTTCCAGATCCATGGGAAATATATTTCTTAAATATATTTGCTAAAATGTGATTTAATATTCTAAAGTGGTCTAATTTAGCAGTTCGTAGTTTTTTTTTTTTTTTATATGTTAAAGAAATAGGTGTGAAATGTCTTGTTTTAGAGACTGCTAAAAGTTTATTTGCATTGTTTTTCTCAGGAATAAAGGCTTCATCCCCAGTAACTACGTAACAGAGAAAAACAGAATCGAAGCAAACTCGTAAGTCTTTAGTTTGTTTATTTTTATTCTTCCACTCAGCTGCAGAATGAGGCAATAGCACTTAACAAATTCATTATAATTTAGGTGGTACTGCAAGAACATCACCAGAACAGAAGCTGAACAGCTGCTGAAACAGCAGGTATTTTTCTCCGTCATTCTAGCTGAATATACATCTATTTATATATAAAACATGCACTTAAAACATATTGCTTAAATGTGCAATGTATCAATGTTAAGTATGTTAAAAACCTCTACAATTTATTTCTAAAAATGTGTTCATTTCTTTCCAGGACAAAGAAGGAGGTTTTATTGTGCGGGAGTCCAGTAAACAAGGCACCTATACCGTTTCAGTTTATACAAAGACATTAAGGTGAGTCACAAAGCTCAAGGAAATCAAATAACATTTGCATCTATAAAAAATATTTAACCAAATATATTTTCTTTACAGTCCAAATGGTGATGTTAGACATTACCAGATTAAAATAACGGATACTGGACAGTTCTACTTGGCTGAAAAACACACCTTCGACTCCATACCAGAGGTTATACACTACCATGAACACAATGCAGCCGGTAGGTAAACGACCTGCTCCTCTGTGCATGTACGGATCCTGCTGTTATATTTATTGCTTCTGGGTTTGTAGGTCTAGTGACCCGGTTACGCTACGCTGTGGGACCGATGGGAAGGTGCGTGCCAACCACGGCAGGCTTCAGCTCAGGTAAATAAATTCAACACCTGTATAAACTGGAGCACACTGGAAAAACGATCTAGAAATAAGTAAAAATTTCTGAAATTAAGTGTATTTACCCTTAATTTGAGTTGGTAAATGAGATGATTTGCCAATGGAATTAGTATTTTTACGCTTAAAACAAGATATTTAGATAAAATGCACTTCAAATAAGACGATATAAATGCGCTTTGTTATTTTAAATGTAAATTGCCTTGTTGAATTGGCAAAATGTCTCTTTTATCTTCTCAATTCAAGAACAAATGAACTTATTTTAAGAAGCAATTACTTATCTAGATTTTGATTTTTTTCCAGTGCAGACAGGAGATGCGGCATGGCATCACAGACATACTAAGGACCTGAAACTGAGATTTAAAAAAAAGTATTACAAAATAAAGGACTGAAATATGCAGGCTTCCATCAAAACATTAGTCAACATTTAAAGGGATTTTTAAAATGTTAGCATAGGAAAAAAACCAACAAATTAGCCATATTTCCATTTGTTGAGGCTATTTAAAGCATAATTATATCAGACATCAATGTTAGTGTACGTAGGCGCTAAGCTGACGCTTAAAGCCACTGGAGTGTTTTAAGCCGGATTCCTATGGTCGACACGCATTTGCTGGGGTGAGATGATGAACAGGACATGTCCAGATGATGTATTTGCAGTTTAAAAGCTGATTTATTCTCACTCTTGCTTGCTTACAAAAACAAAAAATTTATCAAACCACCAGCTGTGGGTTGACACCGTTTCCAAGCCAAGCGGTCAAAACCGATTTGGCTTTTCCAGTGAAACACACGCCCATACACACATCATTTCCTTTCTTTTATGGAGTTTGTATATATTGGCTTCTAAAGTTAGTAAAGGGCATGCTAAATGGTAGGTTAAGGTTTTGAACTAGCATGGACCACATGACAGGACATTGCTTTGGTCGCTTTTGGGCACTTGAAGCCATGTTTTTGTGCCTTATGGAAATATCTAGGAAGTCACCAACAGCGTAATCAAACAGCTAATTGATAGTGTGAGTGAAATCTTTGCTACATCAGAACCCATCCGGCAAACTTGTTTCCATCACCCATTCCACACATTAATAATTTTTTAGCAAAGTGAAAACTCATCTTAAGCTGGAGAAGAACTTTTCTTGCAAAAGTGAGCCATTTATTTGGATATTTTAATTTTTTCCATCAATCTTTTCTTTTTAAAACATTTAAAAATGCACATAAAAGACAATGAAAGGAAACACAGCTAGTAAATTAGAGTGAGTTAATAGGTACGTCTCCATCAGCCTTTTATATGGCGCATTTTGAAGTATTGCATCAGCAAAACTTGATGGAAACTGCTAAATTCCAAACATCTCCCTCAAATTAGCAAAAGAGTTTTTACACTTGCTTGAGCTGGATTTGCTGAAAAGGATTCATTTGCAAAGCGGAATATGTAAACAATTTTTCTGAATCAACTCTGTAAAGGAAACTTATACAGTACCTTAGATAACTGATCAGCTGTTTTCACTGCTGATGCTCCTCTATGGGTGTCTGAAGCAACATCGCCATTACTAGCTGACATGTTAACATAAAACTTCTTGCCAAATAGCAACACATTCATTTAAACTTTCCTCAATTACTGATCTGGGATCCATGCTAGATTACAGCCTCTACTTCCTGTTTATTTCTACCATGTGTGATGACATAATGTGGAGAACGATAAATGATGTACCGGTAATTACATTTTGGGTCACTGTTAATGTGCTTCAAACACGAAGGAAACACCAGAAATTCGCATTTCTTTTTTTTTTTTTTTGAACTTTCAATCTGAGAAAAGAGATTTTATTGTCTTTGATCCATTGCTGTCTTATACTACCAGTTAGGATCATTTTTTCCATCTATCTTTCAGGTTGAAAACAAAAAGCTGTGATTATATACAGACAGGGGCGAAGCTAGATGGGGGCCAGGGGTGGACATGGCCACCCTTAGCCAATCACTGGCCACCCCTACCAATATTTTCCCTCTAATACAGACAGTGGCTGCAGTAATACTCTAAAGTGGAACATTTAAAACATTTCAGTTTTTCATATATTCATAATTACTTGACCAAAAAAACCCTGTGGTTAATAATGCACATTAATATGCTAACATTAAAGATAATGAGTACAGAATCAATGCCCTTTTCATAGAAGTCATCATATAGAAGTCATCAGTGAAATCATAGATAAATAACTATTTTAATAAAAGCTTATTAAAGAATCAATTTATGTAGATATTAATAGTAAATATATATTTTTTGCATAATGATTATTGATAAAACCAGGTAAGTAATGACAATAGAAAAGATGTTCGCTCCAGAACTCAAACCTGAAAGAATTTTACCCACTATACCTTTTATCTAAACAGCATGGATGCTTAAATATGTGTCTATTTTTTAGTAAAGGCTGTAGGAAAGTATAATTCGCCTCCATTTAGAAAATATTGCCTTTGTGCTCGTTAATTTTCCTGTTGGAACAGAGTAGATTGACCCTGAGGTTCTGGCGCCTATCGGTCACCCCTCAGTGTACGTCGATTATTGCCTGGCCACCCTTGTAAAAATTTTCTGGCTACGCCTCTGTATGCAGATGACCTGATAATAATCATTAAAATTACCAGTTCGTCCAAATTCATAGAGAATGTTGTGTCTCTGTTCATAACAAAATATTGATAATGCAATAAACCCACTCCTAAACTACTTTTTGTCTTAGAGTACTGAAGTAAATGTAACTACATCATACATATCTAATGGTGGATGCTGTAGCTCTATCCTGCTGCTCAATACTTCAATAGAATTTAACATTTGAAATGCATAACATGCAACCTATTATTATTATTGACATGTTTTCTCTTCTCTTCATGCTAATCAGAGAAGTGGGAGATAAATCCCAGTGAGCTGACCGTCATGAAGGAACTTGGAAGCGGCCAGTTTGGAGTGGTGAGGCTGGGCAAGTGGAGGGACCAGCAGAGAGTGGCCATCAAAGCCATCAGAGCGGGAGCCATGTATGAGGAGGATTTCATTGAGGAGGCCAAAGTCATGATGTATGGAAGCAGAATCACAACTAAAAACAGAAAAAGGATGCAGAAAATGTGTTTCCTGAACTTTTCCGCGTCTCCTCCTCCAGGAGGCTGTGCCATCCCAAACTGGTCCAGCTGTACGGTGTTTGCCTGAAGCAGCGCCCCCTGCTGATCGTGGCTGAGTTCATGGACAATGGCTGCCTACTGAACTACCTGCGGCAGAGGGGCGGGGCTCTAAAGGAGGCGTGGCTTCTTTCAATGTGCCAGGATGTCTGTGAGGGGATGGAGTACCTGGAAGCTCAGAGCTTCATCCACAGAGACCTGGTGAGTCTCTAGCACAGGGAGGCTTCGGGATTATAATCTGATGGTCAATTAATCTTTGGCTAAAATATAATCTTATATTACTCATTATCATCTTATGTAGTCATTTATGTTTTAATCTTAGTTGTCTACATTTAATGTTCTCGGTTGACTGAAGAATTTTCACTAGCTATATGTTTAACACATGTAAACAAAGATCTGCAACAAGCCCCTGGAACTGAAAATTGTTTTGATCCTACACTGCAAAAATGGTCTAGAAATAAGTAAAAAAGTCTTAAATCAAGCGTATTTACCCTTCATTTTAGTAGGTAAATGGGAAGATTTTCCAATGGAATGAGTATTTTTACTCTTAAAATAAGATTATTAGATAATATCCTCTGAAATAAGACAATGCGGTTGCTTTTTCTCATTTTAAATGTAAATTGTCTTGTTCCATTGGCAAAGTATCTCACTTATCTCCTCAATTCAAAAACAAATGCACTTATTTTAAGAAAAAATTACTTATTTAGATTTCCATTTTTTGCAGTGTACACTGAAAAAAAACCAAAACCAAAAAAGGAAATTTTTCCTAAAAAAAAGACAATTGGTCCTGAAATGAAAAAGCAAAAAAAAAAATTTGCCAAAGGAACAAGACAATTTACATTTAAGATAAGAAAACACAATTGCATTGTCTAATTTCAAGTGCATTGTATCTAAATATCTTATTTTAAGATTAAAAATACTCATTACATCAGCAAATCATCTTGTTTACCAGCTCAAATTAAGGCTAAATACACTTAATTTAAGAAATTCTTACTTATTTCTAGATCGTTTTTCCAGTGTAATTAGAGTTAATCTACTATTATAAATTACTTTCACCTCTAATCAAAGGTTGAAAATGATAAAAATGTTTTTATGGACATGACGAACACTGCTTGTCACTGATGAGTCAACTAGACTCAAACAGGTCATCATCATTTCAGTCGTCATGGGAACTGAAGTAGATGGTTTTTTTTTTAAGTTCTTTTGAAAATGATCCTTAGACACTGCAAAAACGATCTGAAATTAAGTAAAAAATTTCTTAAATCAAGTGTATTTACACTTAATTTGAGCAGGTAAATAAGATCGTTTGCCAATGGAATAAGTGTTTTTACACTTAAAATAAGTTAATCAGATAATATGCACTTGAAATAAGACAATGCAATTGATTTTTCTTAATTCAAATGTAAATCGTCCTGTTCCATTGGCAAAGCATTTCATTTTCTCCTCAACTTAGGACAAAATTCACTTATTTTAAGAAACAATTTCTTACTTAGATTTACATTTTTTGCAGTGGAGACATTTTGGACTGAGGTTTTAAAGCAGGTAGATTCTTAAAAGTAGATAAAAGCTTTTCTTGGTTTTATTTAAATGCAGGTAAGTTGGTTCTAGATGTTGAAGCTAAAAGTCTTAGAGGGTCGAAACCCAACATGGACTTCTACCTCCTTAGCAGTGAATTTTTATGGATCATAAAAGTTTATTGTACTGGATGTCTGAACATCAACTAAACCGCTATAATATGCTGGTTTTAATACTCTTTTACTTTTCAGTCAGATTACTCATCTGAGACTTTACAGCTTCTCTTCTTAGTCTGTGTTTCATACAGGAACATTTACGGTGATCTTAGAAATAGAAACCTCATTAATTCAATGAGGAAATTCACGTGTTTTAGCAACAAAGTTAAACGGCAAATGGAATCAGGCAACGACATATATAAGTAAAACAATATATATGAAAAAACTTAATTTATGATATTAAAAAAACAGCTGTACAGCTATTGAAAATAACATTGTAAAATTCAAAGAAATTAGCAACTTAATAGGAACATTTGAAACTAACCAATGTCCTTTACCTAATTTTCCACAGCATTTTAGTAAAACATTTGCTGCTTTTGATACAAGAGCTTAGAAGGCAAGGCAAGGCAAGGCAAATTAATTTTTTGATTTATTTGTATAACACAATTCAGTACAAAGACAATGCAAAGTGCTTTACATGATTAAAGAAGCAGTGGTGGAAAGTAAAAAGTACATTTAGTTTATTACTGTACTTAATTAATTTTTTGAGTATCTTTACTATACTTGAGGAAATGTTTTTCTTATAACTTTAACTCCACCACATTTCAAAGTCAAATATTGTACTTTCTACTCCACTCCATTTCTAGGAAGCTGCTAGTTATTTGTTCCTTTTTGCTCCGTTTAGCTTTCTATTCCACATTTTCACATGTTGAAATCCAATTTCAACATGGCAGATAGCAGCCCTTAGGTCTGAATTTGGTCACCAATGTTTTACAGATTCCACAGACGTGAGAAACTCAGGGCAGAAATTATTTGCAGACATTAGTTGTTGCCATGTGGCCCAGTTCTTTGTTGTAATCATTCAACCTCAAACCTCTATTCTATAGTGAAAGTGTGAGGAGAATCAAGACTCCAGTTTTCAGTTTTCCTTATTTTTCTAGACATTCCTTATAAATTATGTACCGTAGAATTAGTAACAGGTGGTTCCATTCATCAATAAATCAGGTGGTTTCCGAAAGTTACAAGGTTCTATAAAATTAATCTAATAATTATACAGAAATGTAATGATATTGGAAATATGAATTTGCTCTTTTGAATACTTAAGTATTTTCAAAAGTGAGTACTTTCATACTTGGGATGTTTAACCATGTTGAGTAAGGCCCCGTCCACACGAAGTCAAACCCTGGCCTAAACGCACAAATTTTTCCCCAAACCAGCCTCTCATCCATACTAAGCCGGCGTTTCGGGGGTCTGTAAACAATCTTTTTTTTATTCAGCCTTCAGAGTGGGAAGATTTTGAAACGCCGTTTTCGCGTTTCCATCTTTAAGCTCTAACCGCATTATTTTTTTTACACACATGCGTCATAGCGTCGCCTCTAAACACGCATGCGCAACACAGTATCACAACAACAATGGCGCCGTTGCTGCTCATGCTACTCACCCTGCTGTCGGGCTTACAACAGAATCTTCTTCTTCTGGAATATCTCCAGGAAGAACAGAGCAATATCGACGACATAGTTCAGCACCTGAATTTGACTTAACCACGAAAATGGACCCGCAGGGCAACCATGTATAAATATTAGTGCGCATGCCCAACATTTCGTTGTTGTATAAATACTGTTGTATAAATATTAGTGCGCATGCCCAACATTTCGTTGCCTGTTTTCGCCTATTTTTGCTTTGGCACCACAGCGCCACTTACAGGCCTGGCATACATTTTGCAGCGTTTTCATGCATTTGTGTGGTCGATCACATTTATTTTACATCTCCGTCTTTACGACAAACGTTCTGGAAAATATTGCGTTTCGTGTTCGTTTTGACTTTGTGTGGACGGGGCCTAAGATTTGACTACAAGTATTAATACTTTTACTCAAGTACTACCGTTGATGACTTCATCCCCAAATAAGTAGAAGTACGATTTGGTCTTTGACCTCCTCAAATAGAAGGTTAACCTCTGACTCTGGGTCCGCCTAACATGGATTTATTCTAAACAGTTTTACCTGCATCATATAAGGTATTTAACTGTATTTAACTGCTATCATAACACCCTGGTCTATTGCTTTAAGTCATGTTTAATATTTGCTCCTGATGTGTGTTAATTCAGGCAGCCAGGAACTGTCTGGTTAACGAGAACAACGTTGTGAAGGTCAGCGACTTTGGGATGACCAGGTACAGTAGAGGCTTTATTTCAACTCATTCTGTTCTGTATTGAACAACTCAATAATGATGAAATATAAATTAATAAATGCAGTACATTAAAATATTTCATTTATGGCCTTCGTATGTAAGTTCAGATCTGTTTGTTTTATTGAGGTCTTCTGTTTATTCTCTCTCTTTAAATGTCCCCCTAAAGTCATTAACTTTCAGTTTCACTTTTGAAATGACTGCAGATATGTTCTGGACAATCAGTACACCAGCTCCAGTGGGGCCAAGTTCCCCGTAAAGTGGTCTCCTCCTGAGGTTCTCCATTACAGTAAATACAGTAGTAAATCAGACGTCTGGTCCTTCGGTAGGAGGCCTAATAAACACTCGAAGCTGCAGATGATTGTTGTGGTTTTCCAGCATCAGGAGCCTCTGACGTGTTTGTGTGCAGGTGTGGTGATGTGGGAGATCTTCTCAGAGGGTCGAACGCCCTTCGAGAACCGCTCCAACTTGGAGGTGGTGAACGACATCACCAGAGGGATCCGTCTGTACCGACCGCATCGCGCCAATCAGTCGCTCTACACCATCATGTACCGCTGCTGGCATGAGGTACCAAAGCACACTGGGACCCTTAGAAAGAAGCTGGTTGTAGTGCTGGATCGGGGCCCCGCCCAATACTGGTATCGGTATCGGTGCAACACTAGTGTTAGTTCTGAAAAAAGTGTCTTAAATTTAGAATCTGAAGGTTTATCATCATATTCTAGGGTCTAGGCTGTTCAATAGTTCATTTGTGTAACCTCCTATTTTTTGTTTTCTTATGAAATAGTTATTTCAGTTAATTGGGATATTAGTCCCCATAGTCAGACACTATCAAAGGTATGTTTGATTTGAATGTTTTTAAAGATTTTAAATCACTCTCATAAACTGTTAATACACATCCATGCTGTTAAATAGTAAGGTGCCCTTTATAGATCTAATATTATACATTTATATTTAGCCTAAATAATAAGTGCTCTACAAGTGCTATCTTGTAAGTGTATTGATTTAAAGAAATTAATTATAAATACACTACTGTTCAAAAGTTTGGGGTCACCCAAACAATTTTGTGTTTTCCTGAAAAGTCACACTTATTCACCACCATACGTTGTGAAATAAATAGAAAATAGAGTCAAGAAATTGACAAGGTTAGAAATAGTGATTTGTATTTGAAATAAGACTTTTTTTTACATCAAACTTTGCTTGCGTCAAAGAATCCTCCATTTGCAGCAATTACAGCATTGCAGACCTTTGGCATTCTAGCTGTTAATTTGTTGAGGTAATCTGGAGAAATTGCACCCGCTTCCAGAAGCAGCTCCCACAAGTTGGATTGGTTGGATGGGCACCTAGAATCCCGCAGCCGCCTCTTCACTGCAGATGTTGACACTGGTGTTTTGCGGATACTATTTAATGAAGATGCCAGTTGGGGACCTGTGAGGCATCTGTTTCTCAAACTAGAGACTCTAATGTACTTATTCTTGCTCAGTTGTGCAACGCGGCCTCCCACTTCTTCTTCTACTCTGGTTAGAGCCTGTTTGTGCTGTCCTCTGAAGGGAGTAGTACACACCATTGTAGGAAATCTTCAATTTCTTAGCAATTTCTCGCATGGAATAGCCTTCATTTCTAAGAACAAGAATAGACTGTCGAGTTTCAGATGAAAGTTCACTTTTTCTGGCCATTTTGAACGTTTAATTGACCCCACAAATGTGATGCTCCAGAAACTCAATCTGCTCAAAGGAAGGTCAGTTTTGTAGCTTCTATAACGAGCTAAACTGTTTTCAGATGTGTGAACATGATTGCACAAGGGTTTTCTAATCATCAATTAGCCTTCTGAGCCAATGAGCAAACACATTGTACCATTAGAACACTGGATTGATAGTTGCTGGAAATGGGCCTCTATACACCTATGTAGATATTGCACCAAAAACCAGACATTTGCAGCTAGAATAGTCATTTACCACATTAGCAATGTATAGAGTGTATTTCTTTAAAGTTAAGACTAGTTTAAAGTTATCTTCATTGAAAAGTACAATACAGTGCTTTTCCTTAAAAAATAAGGACATTTCAATGTGACCCAAACTTTTGAACGGTAGTGTAGATTTTAGATCTCACGATTTTGACGGGCTTAATTTATAATTAAACATTATTATACCACTCAAACTTCAGGTTAAAATATGTTAAACATAAGTTGATGTTAAATGTCACTCTCTGAATCAATGTTTTTTACTGTGCGCCTTAAGGACCCGGTGATATTACACAAAGAAACTGAATTGTCAAAATGAAGTTGAGCTATAAAACAAAATAAATTAAAAGAATTACATTCAGTTTCATGTTGAAAGTGTTGTATTTAATTTTAAGTGACACCAACACTTATTTAGTCTGGGAAATTCACATTCAGTTAAAGATGGTAAATGTTTCTTGCTGTAAAACAAATTTTGTTGATTAATCTGGACCTGAAATGGTATAAAACAAAAAATAAGAAACAGATGCAGTGGATATAAAATCCAAGCCAGGCCATTCCTTACATTTATAATAAAACATAATATTCAGACTTTTATCGTGAGATTAGGGAAGTCAGGGAGCAAACAGGTTTTAAATATCCATCCTAGTTGGAAGATGGGATACCAGGATACATAAGATTAGGACACAAGGTAGAAATGAGAAGAAAACTTACTGTAGACGCAAGAAAGGAATAAAACAACAGGAAACAAAGAGGGAAGTAAAGTAGGGCTCTGGGCAGGTAGGAGACAAGGAAGGAAGAAGGAAAGGAAGGAGATGAGGCAGTAGGAAGTAAAGCACATCAGGGAAAAAAGGAGGATGGAAAATAAAAGACTTAGACTGTTAAACTAAGTAGGGAAGCAATATGTTTCTTACTAATAGAATTGATATATAAAAACTGTATCTTTTTCTTTTAATCAGTTTTTTCTTTAACATCCTTTTCATTTTTTTTTTTTTTTGATATTCCAGAAACCTGACGGTCGGCCGAAGTTCTCAGAGCTTCTGGAGGAGATCAGAAAATTGGCTGAAACTCCAGATTAAACCAAAGATGTGATGTTTTCTGACCTCTGTGTATCAAACTGTTTTAAATTATGTATTAGAAATGTTTAATTGGTGTAAATAATAGCCATTCAGATAAACCGTCATGGCTCTGCTGTAAATATATATATTTTTCTATATAAGAAAAATACTTTTACCTCTATCGGTGCTTTATATCATTTATTTATTTTAGAATTATACTGTAAATCTAACAAGACATTAGAAATTTCAAACTAATTATCAGTATGTGAAAATTATTTTCAAACATTAAGCTTCTGTTCATATTAATGTATAGACTGTAAAATACAAACTAGCAGCGAAACTATTTCTACGAAGCCTGAATGATCAAATAAATGATTAAATGATTAACCCAGTGATGCTGTGAGATCTTTTCCCTAATAAAGTTAAAAAAAACTATCCAGTTCTGGGTAAACTGTCCTATGTTAATTGCTTGATGAGTACGATGACATCTTCATTAACACAGATTTTTCAAACAGTTAAAGTAGCTCACTTGTTTTTCATTAAGCAGCACATTCTAATAGAGAAACACAGAAATTAGGAGGATTCTTGGTGATTAATACTGCCACCTGCTGGCAGC